AATCTGACTTACCTGATTCTTCCTTATGCTACTGTATGTATATGTATTTAGATTTATGTTCTAGGTTTCAGACCCTCTATAATATTTACAATCCTCATTATTCAAATAATGTAGTTTACCTCTGTGCTTTCTGCAGAAATTATTTCTGTTGTGTTTTCCTGGTTATGTGCAATTTCACACATCCAGTGTCTATAAAATCGTGGCTTTCAGCACTCCCTGTCATCTAGAAGTTGCTGATTTCTACCTGAGACAGGCAGGAGATCTGTTTTATGCCTACAGTTCTCCTACAAGTGACATATCTAATATGTTAGAAACATCTCCAAAACTTAAGACATCAACTTATTATGTTATGAATTTAGGATACATCAGCTACTTGCCCCATAGTTCTTGTGCAGACACTTCTCAGCTACTGTCCCTTACTTCCTTATCTTGCTGAAAAGCATGGCAAATTTGCCCACATTGGGAGTGGGAATGGAGTAGCTGGGGTGCTGCACATTATGCTGTGGTTTTCTGTATGCTAACTCCCCAAGTACATGTGCCCAGGCTTGCAAGAAAATCAGAAACAGTTGTTGTGCAAAGAGTTAGGTAAACAACTGCCAGCCTTGTTACATCCATAAAGGCTTTACCGTTTCATCTGCATCCATAGGTTTCTCTTAAAAGATGGTTCCTACAGTCACTGACTGTGCTTAATGATGATGCCCAAATCTGCATTTCTTCAGTAGGATAAGGACAGGGGACATAAGGTCTAAGGACACAAGGAGGTAATTCAATCCTGGACTGCTCCCTAATTTTGAAAGAACACAGACAAAAGTGTCAAGAAACAAGATAAAAGTGTAATATTAAAGTAGCAGTGAAGTGAGGGGAAGGACAAATGCATCTTACTTGAAGAACCTGCCTAAAACAAGTGGAGAAAAGGAAAAGGCACAAAGTGATGGTGGTGCTAATACTCTAAAGAAGGAGGCTCAGGATCCACAAGGCCCTGACATACCCTGTGAAACAAGCTTGAATTAGACAGACTCCTCTTAAACAGTATGAATGCAATTGCTATGGGGAATTTAAGCACTGAAAGATGAAGGTTTTGTATACTGCAAATACTGTTTCATGTACCTTAATGTCCAAAAGTAAAATAGAGGCTGGATTTGTTCTGAAACATGGTCAGGAATTTTAAAACAGGCTTTTGTATACACAAACAAAAGGAGCATGGGAAACAAAAGCTTGGGAGTTACTTAAATGTCAAGGATTGCATTCTGCCAGGTAAAACTGAAGTGTAGCAGAGGGACTCAGTTTCATAAATGAAATGTCATTGCTGATGGGTACAAATTATATAAGAAAGATGGAGAGGGAAACAGAGGTGGTACTTTGTCAGATGCATTTATAGCTGCAGCAAGATACAGTTCAGCTGCAAAGAGAGCGGTAGTAAAAAATAAAGAAAATAAATAAAAATTGAAGTGGACAGTTGCTACAGCCTACTCCAGCAACAAGAAAGCAGGAATGAATTAGTCTCTCTCAAGGTATCCAAAGCCACAGGACTCTGTACTTGTGGGGAATTTAGCTGCCCACACATCTTTAACAAGCACCGCCAAACACTGGCCAGAGATGTTCATGATGTTCATAGAAACCTGCTCTAATCCAGACAGTACAGGTTCTTGACAAATAAACAAGAAAAATCCCCCAAACCCAGGAATTGTAGCTGAGAAATTAAAAGTAACACCAATGAACAAACTATCTGAATGTAACATAGTAAAGAGTTTATTTGTTTGACTTAGAAAAGTTCTCTGACATAATTTGCTGGACACATATACATTAAATATACAAACGCATACTAAAAGAAACCCAGAAGGCACACATTCAGCCAAGAGGCTCATTCAGAACCACTCACCATTTCACACCAGAAAGAAAGAACTGCAAGTTCCACCTTTGCTACTCTCTGTCCAGGACTGCAAGTGTAGGTAGGCCCCATGGTACACCACACAGATCAGCAAACCTGCAGTGACAAGCCAAAGAGTAAACAAGATGTGGAGAACAGGTGTCCTCTTGGGATTGGCAAGGGTCAGGACACAGATGCCAAGGAGAGCTAATCTTGTTCTTTAAAATAGCAACAACAAATATCTCCCATCTTTCCCATCCCCTTGGGAGGTTAGTGACTCGGTTGCATGAGGCGACATCTTGGGAAAGGACCAAATGATTGCTTATTTGAAGACTGCTGCAGGTACTTACTGTACCTTCAGCCTCCACTACCAGACTTCCAAGAGAATTCATAACTACTGCTCCTTGTCCCTCTGCCCCCAGCACCATTAACCACAAATTATCTGGAGAATGATAAAGATTCATTTACAGGTCACAGTCTCAGGTTTCTAGCACTTATCAAGCACCACAATTAGCAAAACTAATCGAAATAAATGTGGTCACCTCACCCAGACTCAGATCTGTTGCTACAGGAGCAGCCAAATAGTCCAAGTTCAGCTGATCTTATCTTCAGGGAAGAACAAGTTCCACCAGTCTGAAACATCCACTCTGGATCAGCAAGGCTGCATGCATCCCCAAAGAGTCACGCTGAGTTTAAGGAGCAGATTCGTATCATGAAAGAAAGCATGTTTGCTCTCTCAAATTAAGTAATTAAACAGTGTGTGATAAGCCTAAGGAATTCTACTAGCCCCTGGAGTCAAGGCATGAGACTTCTGTGACAGGGGAAGGAATTTAAAAACAAGTGAACACTGCTTTTCAGGAACTGGTGTCACAACAAAACAGAAGACAACATACAGATGAGAGACTGTCTCTGAAAAGGAGATCCTGTTATTTAACAAGGTTAAAGAAAAGTGCTGTTGCATCCATCACAGGAGAGAGAAAGTAAAGCATGTTAGTAAGTAAGCACAGAAGGAAAGGAAGGGCAAGTGAAATCAGCCTCTTGGACTGTGAAGTCACTCCACCCAAGATGAAGCAACAAAGACATAAAAACAAAGAGATAGAGGTCTTCCTGGAAAACTTGACCATATATATCAAGATAGTAATAATTAGTTAACCTATTGCACAATTAAAAATAAATAAATATTTTTAAAGTCTGGCAGAACAAGGAAGCACCGACAATGTTCTTATTAGAATGAAAGGTGGAACAGTGTTGGCCTGATAAAATTATCTCTGACCTCTGCTAACACAGTGAAATAAATACAAGGAGAGAAAAAAAATCTCCCAAACTGGCAAATCTGGCAAATAACAGAAATATGGCAAAATCAAGCCATTTTAGACAACCTTACAAACGTACAGCAAGTAGCTCTTGGCACATGAGCCATACACCTGAAGCCAACAACAAAACACAGAACTATTAAGTTACTTCTATGTTCAAGTGATGGTGTAATTTCCAACACCTCTTTCCTCCCATTACCAGGAACAATTTTATAAAACACTGCTGATAATAGGAACTGACAGACCCAGCTGTAAAATTACAGCTTTTTCCCAGAAGGCTATATAGAATAGCTATACAGAGCAGCAAGCATTTAACCGACTGTGTGAGGATGAGTACATTTAAACAGAGGATACGATATCTTTGGTATTTTAGCATCTCTAGACATTCTATGGAGTAAACTCAGAGTAAAACTGACCTGCTTGCCATTCATGTTAAATACACTTCCAGGAAAGGCAGTTAATCAACCAGTCAATCAATCAATTGCACTTTATCATCAACTACAGACAGTTGTTTCAGTGCAAAACCCACTACTGCAACCCAGCGCTGAGAAGTTTTGGAACAGCTTGTTCTGTATTGGGAGTGCAGCAGTTGTCTTTGTTGTCAATCCCTTGTGCAGTGAGTAACTCAAATGGTTTCTCTAAACAAAAAGAAAATTAAACCTGTGTTTTTCTGGCATGTAGGTATGTTAGTTTTCAGGTGTCTACTTACAATTAGATATATTTTTCTTAGGTATCACAAGATGGCTTACTTATGACATCAGAGCATGGAATTTAGGTGGTGAGAAAGCAGAGTGAAACATCAGTCTCCACACTGAAGGAAAAAAAAACAATCCGCTTCTCCACTCTGTTAGTGGGTAGAACTGGAAAACGGCCAGTGAACAGGAAGACAGAGGTGTCAATCAGGTCCCATGTAATGAATAGTTATATATACTATGAACCTGCAACTTGGAAAAAGTGATGACTGAGGACATATATAGATCTGTAAAATCATGAGTGGCAAGGAGACAAGGAATAGGGGTAGTCATCACTACATCTGACAGTGGAAGAATTAGGGTTACTCGACAAATTCTAAAAAAAAAACATTAAAAGAGCCGGACAAGTCTTTTTCATACTACACAATGAACTCAGAGTTCATTGCCACAGAACACTGTGGAGGCCAAAATTAGAAGAAGATTTTTAAAAAGACACTAAATGCATTCATTAAGGCCAGGTCCAGAAGGAACTGCCAATTCAGAAAGTCCACATACTGCTGGAATGGTGTCAGAGAAAGACCTCTGTATACAAGCTTTTTATTTTATGCTTCTGTGATTGCCCGTTACTGGCTATCCTCAGAGACAGGATAGCAGATTAGATGGCCTATGGTCTGACTGCATGCGGTGTTTCTTATGGATCAAAGCTCTCAATTTTGGTATGATTAGAGTCTGAAAAGGCTAAATGAAAAAAAAAAACAACCAACAAACCAAAACATTTGCAAAGCTTGTATGCCTCCCCCTGCTTCCTCTCAACCTGAAAGATGTGCTCCTTAATCATTCAGTTTCCATGAATGGTAAAGTATTGCTGAATTAGCAACAAACAGGATTTTGTAACAGCCACTGAAGGCTGCATTATTGCTCCCAGATCCTGCCCAGTCCACGGCATTTCTCCGACCCAGTCTCAACCGCAGGTTAAGTCCCCCTGTATTCTATTTTTTCTCTTTACTACACTCTTGCTAAATCATTTTGTTCAACTGCTATATTTATCACAAGAAACAGTGAAGATACTAATCTGCTGGCCTCTGCTCACTAAACCCTTCTCCCAGACCACTCATTTCTGTGTGGATAAGTGATAACAGGAATCTACAAAAAGACTCCTTGTGGACAAAGGATTGCTACACTGTCTGTAAACATCCTTATTTCACCCAGAATTTGCCACTTCAATTGGATTTAGCCTTCCAGCCAGTCAGACCACTACATTTCTGCAGTGCAGCAGAGTAAACAATGCAACACAGTGATTCTGAGTCTGTAGCTAGACAGACTGAAGTAGCAGCACAAGTAAGTCAGAAAATCTGCATTTATCTGGACACAGAGCGAGCTCTGAGACCAGTCATCACAGTCGTTTTTATATATAAAAATGTGTGCACACAGACATAAGGACTAATACATTCATCTAACCCTCATTTAAGGGACCAACCATCCAAAGTCTATGCTTTACGCAGCAAATGTGCTTTAAGTGGGGGTGCCAGGTGCATCCAGGACCAGACAGTGGCTTTTCAGACCACTGTGTAAGGACATAGCTGTAGGTTCAAAATCAGTCAAGAGGTTACTGTTCCAGCTTGTTTAGTCTTCAGTTCTCCAGACAATCCTTCCCAATCAAGATAACACACAGGTAGATTGTTTGGTTTTATCGCTTGTAGTGGAGTTTGGACTTAGGTTACCTGGAATGAAAAGAAGTTGAAGTAATGTTAAGTAAACAAGACCTGGATAAAGTTTGGACTCATGCCTCAATCCTCTCTTGCTATTTACTATGCACCTAGTATTAGACCTACATTACTCTGCACTCTCTTCTGGTTTTATTTCCTAATACTGTGAAATAAAAAGACAATAAAATAAGAGCAAATTCAGAGTATACAGTGGAGAAAACCACTGGAGAAGTATTTCCAGGCTTTGGCCTGTACCCAGACCAGTATTCTTGGGTCCCAGTTGGTACTGAAAAACAGTCTGGCCAGGACTTTGGTGGAGGTTTTTTGAAGAGTGAGGTATGACAAAAAAAAGTCAGGTCATCTCATCCATTTGATCCACACACACACACATTCTCAGTAGAGGTTTTCTCACATCCCACTATAAACTTCTCAAGTGCCAGTATTTCCACCATTTCCTTTGCAAGACAAATCCCAAAGCCTCTGGGTCTCTCACTTAAGTAGCACAGTATGCTTCCTCAATTTTTTATCATCTTAGTTTTTTTCATTGCTCACTCAACAGATTCCTTCTGCTCCCAGTATCTGTACTTTTCAATGCTTGCACTGCTGTCTCATCTCCTTCATTACAGCCAGCTGTTGGTCTGGATGCCCTAGCATATTTTTTTCAAGCACTGTTCTAATGTGTGTTTGCAGAGGCTTTTGCAAGTACGGGAGCTCATCTGTACTCTGAGCTCAGCAAGGCTTACATGACTTACAGCCCAGGGCAGTACGTGTTGAGAGGGGCTGCCATGTCACTTGCAGTCACTCTGAACCAGGGCATACCCCATTCATGTATTTGTACAGAAGAAAAGTATATGTGCATCTCCTAAGCAGTTGGAGCCAGTGGCCAGTACAGAGTGAGAACAGGGAGGGAAAACTGCCACAGGTCAAGGTGACATGCTACTGAGAAGTCTCAACCTTGCTAAGATGAGGGAACTTTCAACCCAAGCACTGACTCTCAACTGGGCTTCAAGTGATTCATTTTTCATTACACTCTCTTGCTTGTGGCTATTTGATCAATATTCTCCTCACCCGCAGGTGATGGGGAAGAGAATAGCTCTGTCCTCTCCCTCTCCACCTTCTTCCACACTGCAGCTTCTTGATATCCATGTGGGAGGCTGCACTGCAACCTGCTCTGACTTCTGTGGCTACTCTGTATGCCTCCTCCCCACATCTCCCTGTGGCATTTCATTGTGCCTCCTGTTCCGCCTTTGACCAATTCTGTATGTTACTACTAAGTTTATCATTACTCCTATCTCCTCACCACCCCTGTTCCCCTCCCTGTCTGTATCATATTCAAGACCCTCACGTTTACTTTCAAAATTGTCTGTGCTCCCCTGCTTAATCTCAGCTCCCAACTCCTTTATTCTTCTCACCTTCTACTCTTGTCTTCTAACCTTTTTCTACAGATCCTGCTACAGTTAGAGCAAACACCATCCTTGTATGTACCCAATAATGTTCCCCTCTAGAATAGAGGCTAAAAATTCCAGTTTCCACCTGTCCATGATCCCACTTTGGCTGAAAAATACTGGTGATAACTAAGCAGCTATTTTTGTGGTATTGCAGTGCCCAGTGTAAATCCATTTCTTGTTGCATGAAGCACCCAAAAGTAAAACACAAAGTCCTGCTATTAAGTATGTGTTCTGCAATCAACACTCATGAGGAGTGGAGGCCAATGTATGGAGCAACTCAGGATAGCAGACTTTTCTGAATGAGCCCACTTCTTGCAGGGGAGAAAACAAAACAAAAAGCCAGCACCTTCCAAAGGCACACAGCTTTCAAACCCTTACAGTATCTCCCAGAAACTGCACACAGATGTCAGTGTCTTTGCTGATTACAGCCTGCCCAGCAGCAGCTCAAAATTAACAAGATTCTGGTCAGGTACAGAGATGCTGATGTTGTGTTCCTAAGCAGGCAACAGTGAAATTCAAGAGTTGTGTCGGTTTGATGATGTGGTTTAAGATAGCCTCATATGACAGTGTACAGTCTCTGTGCAGTGTGCTAGGACAACACCTCCGGATGTTAATTCAGAGCTTAGTTTGGGAAGTTACTATTTGTAGTCCTTGTATTTTCCAGACTCCCAATTCTGACCTGCAGGTATCCCTTTTCTACCATGTAAATACTGAGCCAGATTTTTAGATTCTGTCACAAAACACACTTTTCATCACTTCTCTTCCCAGTTCAGATTCTCTTCATCAACATCTGCTCTTACAAGACTGAACCTGACCTTTAGCCTGCTTGAATAATGTCTTTCAATTACTCTGCGAGCTTCTTGGGGTGTAGTTCTGGTCTCTTCATGCATTTGCCAGGTGGGATGTGTCTCTGTGGTACTACAGAATTAATAGTGACTTTGGAGGATGTGTGCATAGGCAGGTCCACAGAGCTTAAGCGTGCTGTTTAATCTTTACAAAAGGTAAGGGCAGCTATTTGAAACTGTGAATCTCTGAATAATTGCATCCTAACCTGACTGCATATCAAGCACTTTCTCCCTCCTTCATTTTCACTTCTTACCTCCCTTCTGTCACCCAGAGTATCACAGCATCAGTTTTTACTAGACATACTTCAAGACAAACCTTTAAAACAAAGTCAGTCCTATAGTTACCCAAGAACAAAGTACCCCTATTTTAATCTTGAAGCTGAAACTCTATTCCATGTTCATGTTCAAGATTTTTTTATTAAATCCTAATGAAGCATGTGGTACTGACCAAGTAGCTGCAGGATCTTTTTTCTATTTCTCATAGGTCTCCATCTTCCTAATGCGCCTTCTAATATCTCTGTTCACATGTCACTTTGGGACCATTAGACTAGAGAAGCCTTCTCTCAAGAACAGTGATTCAATTCAAAAGCATCACACAAGCTTTGATTGTCCTCCAGCCTTTCACAACACCAGATGACCTAACTCTACTCACATCATACTTCAAAAGCTGCAGAGTCTCCCATTGCCACCATGAACAGGCATTCTCAATTTCCATAAAACAAAACAATACTTGCATGGACTCCTTGGAAAGACTTATCAGGTCAGGAAGAGCACAGCAGGAATGCTGGTGTGCTGGACCTCTGTGCATTCCTTACACCTGTTCTCAATTCTTCCTTCCCCTTTGTTGAAAGACGTGGCAGCCCTCAGGAAGTAGCAGCGGCAATAAATAAAACCTGAATGTAATAGCATGATAGTGTCTTTGTGGAAACGGTCCAGACCACGCATCAGACTGTCTGGCATAGATCCATGGTGTTAAAGGAATAGGGACATCCCTGTTGCCCTGACTCTGCAATGCCCCAGAAGGGCGCAGCGCCCCACTGTTCAACTAGACATCAATCTCTTTCGTGCCTTAATGTGAGCCTAATTTCATCATGACAATGCAGGAATGGTGGGCTATCTGCTTTAAAACAGGTAACAGTGAGAAACGTAGGGAATCTCTTGAGATCGTAAAGTGCTGACATATCAGACATACACAGTTCTCTACTTCTGTCACTAGAGGGTAGTGCAAGCCCTCAGATGCATTCCTCTGAAATGCCCATAAATCTCCCTGTAGGTCTTCACCGATTTTGGTTTTTCTGGCTCTGAGGAATGGGGCCCAGCAGCACATACAGTCTGTGCTTAAGACATAAAGAGAACTGGAGAGAGGACCTCTTTAGACCAGGGTTTACCTCTGCCTCCCCAAATACCAAACGTATGTCCACAATAGGTCAACTATAGTCTTAAATACCATGCCTTCTTACAGTTCCTCTGTGTTCATTTCGCATTTTTGAGTCTGTCCTTCATTCAGCCAGAATTATTTCTAAGAACCTAATAACCTTCCCAATACCTTGCTTTTCTTTTCGGTCTCAGGAGAATGTCTTTCCATTTCACATCATGGCAGTCTCAAGGGAATTCAGTCTCTCTAGACCTGCATTTTGCATTCATCAGAACACAGAATGGTCTCTGGTCAGACAAACTGAGGAGGAATTTTCTCCCTGGAACTAGTTTATTTTCCTGCTGGCACATGACATATTGACACCCAGCACAGCTCACTGAGAAAGGAAAGCAACCAGGCTAAACAGTCCATAGATTTACTTCAGTCTGACAAAACATCTAAAACATTGGGAGGTTAACTATGAACTCATAAATTGGAAGAAATCTTTATCATTTATGTCTTCAACTGGATGAAGCCTTGGAAGGACTTAGTGAAAATCTCAATCATGTGATAGCAAAGAAAGAAAAGTTGAGATCTAGTACTTCTCCATAGCTTCTATTTTCAGGACCTTCTCCTCCATTTTGGAAGGTGATGAGCAAATTAAAAAGACCCCCTCTCCTCCATTCCTTGCCCCCTCACCTCAATAGAAACACATTTTCCTCTCTCCTCCACCAGTAACTTGTCACAGTAAACACACCCAACTAAACCTGAATGAGGAAAGGAACGGTAGGGTTACATTGAAAATCTGCTTGCACCCTGCTAGCCACTACAATAGTTGAAGATACTGCTACTGTTTATTAGGACAGCACACTTCATGAACTGTACACTTAACCTGTTTTACACAAGGAGACATTCACCTTTCTTTCCCTTTGTTCCATACCCACTTGCTGAGAAGTATGAGAAAATATTTACATGAGAAGTACTAACTTTACAGTAAGACTGCCATTAAACTGCCTTCAAATTAAGTTGCTTATATCATTTGATACAACTCTGCTTTGATCCCACTCATTTTAATATAAATAAGAGCATCTACTCACCAATGCCTATATTGAATAAGTTTGCACCAATCAGCCAAACTCAGAATAAGGGACACAGAAGCAGAATATGCTGGTAGGAGAAGTTTTACCTGAGATGCCTCCAGTGCTCCGAACACTTCCATGACCAATGCTGAGTCGCTCATATTCCAGTTTCATGTTCCCAAGGTCTTCTCCTGAATGTCCTTCACTGGCAAAAGAATTAGCCTCAATGCTTGAGCCTGGAGACCGTTTGGCCTTGCGACTGAAAAGCCCACTGGCAAAACGTTTTCCTTGCTTTGAATTGGCCTGTGCATTTTCTTTCTTCACGTCATGAATAGACTCTCTGGATTTGGATTTATTTTTCAGGTCCATGTGGAGCCGGGAGAACAGTTTCTGAGGGCTCCGATTCAGCTTGTTCACGTTCTCCAGTGGTGGATCAATTTCTGGGAACTCTTGCTCCAATGTGACTAAATCATTCAGAAACTGATTTAACCGTTTCTTTGACTCACTTGTTTCCTCCTTTTCTATGTCCCCCTGATTATCCTGCCTGTGTCGTGAAGCCCAGAGCATCATATCACCACGGGTTGCCCCTGCCACTAAACCATACTTGGGGTTAATGAACTTCCGAGCCACAGTGGAGGAATGAAGGCCTGGCTTCCCAGTTACAAGAAGGGATGGGTTAGCAATACCTAGTTCCTTGTAGAAATTAACTTCCTCTGAGATGGCATAGAGCTCACGAAACTCAATGTCAAACATCTCCACGTGCTGTCCTGTCAAGACTAGCAGGATGTTTCTGTCGATGTGGGATGAACTCCATGTGAAGCTAAAAGCAGGAAACAGAACCGGCATTAGATTTTTGGGTGCATACGTGACCCAGCCCACCTAATAATTTCTAAAACACTGCATGGGAATACGTAGCATTGTGCCATTTGCCTGTATATCCTTGACAAGATGGGTCACGATAGACATATGAAGCTCTTTACTATTGTTCTTCATTAGGCATGCAGACCAGATCTGAAAGAAAAGGCCCTAAAACACTGAGGACAGTTGACCCTTCTAAAAAATGCAACACTGCATCAACAGGAGGAGTGTACAGACTGAAAACCTCACTGAAGAGAACTAAGTATGGTGGACCTGGCAGACCACCACCTGATGCAGTGGGGAACTATCTCCAGTCCTCTGAAATGGTCCACCAGCACAGGCATGTTCTGTTCTCTCAGAAGCACCTTGTGCTCTATGCCACCTTCTCTGTTGTCCCACCCCCATTTCTACAGATGCCACACAGATTACAAAGCTGGGATAAGAAAGGGAATGACATAGGAAGAAGACTCTCAAGCAGAGCCACAAACCATTCTTTACACAAAGAATGTAGCTTTGCCTTAAGCAAGAGTGACCCACCTGTATGACCCAGTGGCCACCTTTTCACCATCCACCATCAGGAATCGGGATGCCAATGTGCCTCTGATCTTCCCTGCTGGCATGTAGAACCCAACTCCTGTCACAGAACGTATGCGGATGTTCTAACAGGGAGGTGAAAAGACAAAATGTCACAATAAATAGGGCAGAGAATTAGATAACTGTCAGCTCCAAGTCTTAACATGTCACTCACATTATCTCACTACTTCTGGGACTACATTTTGTTTTAGCCACCAGAAATCAGAAGTGCTGTATGACCTGTTGTCATCCCCTGTCTATGCAAGTCACTCCTCTCCATCAGTTTATAGCCCTAGCCAATGGGTCAGCATCTTTGTAACCCTGCCTGTTGTATTCAGCTATTCATCTTAGCCCACTGGCAAGACAACGCTTTCAAAATCAAATAATCCTCCACCTCCAGTCCTGTGCTGTAGCTCAGAAGGCCCAGCCCAGTTTAGAGGAATGAATCAGCAGAAGCTCTGAGTCACATCTGCACTCTCTGAATTCTGATCCCTATTCCACAGCAATCCCAAGATCTTCTCCAGATTACGTTAGCAGGATCACAAAACCAAGGAACTTTGCAACACTTGTGCAGTATGAAGGACACAGTTACTTTGAGGGTAATGTATAAGACAGGTCTCTATTAGGTTCTTTTTATGCTTGTGTTCTAATTCCCAGCAACACATGGCTTGACAAAACTGGGCAAATTAGAAGAATGGACAATTTAACTATTACAGAAGAGAGGAGGAAACAATTCTATTACTCAAAAGATATATGTTTCCTGTCAGTTATAACAAAAGGAGAACCCTAACCTTTATAATTTTGTTCAGAACCCCAAATAGCGAGTGTCCACCCAGATTCCTCACTGTTCAATGGAGAATTAAAAAACCACAGAACTTTTTTTGAACAAAAGGAGTAGTGTCTCTACTGATGTCCTCAACAGATCAGCAAAGAATCTGAAGAAACAGAAGAAACAACTTTTAATTAAATGAATGGAAGTAGTTAGAAAAAGATAATACCTCTCCTCAAACCTCCCTTCACACACCCTTTGGCCATCAAACCTACAAGTAATAAAACAAAGCACTACTAGACACAGAGAAAAAACACCGATTTAAGGTTACATGATTTTCAACAACAGATGTGTGCCTACAGTTACTATAAGGACATATCTGCACATTGGACTGAGTGTTGTTCTGCTCAGGGGTCCTGGCTGCATGACACTGAATTGCCAAACTGACATGAAACATCACCCCCCCCCAAACCCAAAAAGCATTGACTGTCAGTGTAAGTTTAGAGCAAATTATCTTGTTGCTCTGAGACACAAATTTAGACCATTTTTTTCATTCCACCTGTTTCCATAAGAATTCTTTAACAATGAAAAGCTAAAAGGTATTGTGAACTGGAGTAATAAATCCAGGGTTGAGAGTCAGACAGTCCCAAGTATAATCACAGTTCTGACACTATTTCCTGTGATGGTCTGGGAAAGACAATTCACCTTTGCCTCATTCTTCCCCCATCTGCAGAGCAGGAGAATCATGAGGATTTGGCTAGTACAGCCTTGGATCCCAAAGACCTAACTCCTATTATTATAAACTTCACTGATGGCTTAAATATTGTTAGGCTATAGAAATCAGCATGCAGGAATGAGTGATTATAAGAATGCAGTTTTACATCAAAGAACATTTTTCTGAATATAACTCCTACCTTTTGAATCTGGTCCCCCACTAAAATACAGCAGTGGCAGTACAAATTCTGACTAACAGTAACTGATGATACTACTATTTTGCACTCATCTATTGCTTGATCTGTCTGGAGTCCTGTGTGGGCATTAGCTAATTAAAACTCCCAACACTTCTGAAAGTATTATTACTCTGTTTTAAAGATGAGGAACCTGAAAGAGAAAAAGATGAAGTGACTTGCCCAAGGCCTAGCAGTGAGTCATATGTGTGGGATGCTGAATGCAGGTTAGCTAGAGCACAGGAGAAAGGGTGCCCTTTCCAGTATTTAGAATAACATTTGTAGTTGGCTGGCTGATCACCTGAAATAATATTTTTCCCTTGCTGAGTAAAGTTGGATGTAGAATTTGCCAAATCATGGAGTATTGACTGCAAGTGACAAGAAGGAACTCCATTCTTCAAATCGGTCAACAGCTCTGACATGTCCTGTACCTTTGTGAATCAAGAAGTATCAGCCTGTGTGAGCAGAAAGTTTCTTAGCATGTAATATGTGTAGATTTTATTGTGTTTGTATGTTGTATCACCTTTTGGTGGAAAGAAAGCACATTTTAATTTCTGCAGTAACTGAGCTACACATAACACTTAGAAAGGCACAGAGAGGGTAGAACCAAACAGCTGAACACATAAACCGCCTTAAACAAAGTAGGCACAGGAGTGTATAAATACATCTTGAAATGCAGAAAACAAGCACAAAGTCATATAAGCATCAAGTCACTTAACAGGTTATTTGTATAATGTTTTCTGCCTTGAAGGATCTTGGAGCGTTTGTAGACTGATATATCAAGCTGTACAGAGAAGGAACAAGCCTGGGTTCATTTACTGAAGACTACACAACAACAAAAGAGGAAAACCAAATATAAATTATATGAGATTTGGAGGGGGCACTAGCGTTACAGTACTAACAAATACTTACGGTAGAGGACCAGTTAGTTCACCAGATAGAAGTGACCCCTCCAGATCTGTATTCTTGCAGAAGCCTGCTTAAGGTTTGTCAGATCCTGGCGTATGGAAGCTGCAGCCTGCATTAAATTTCTGCATTTCCTTTATGCAGGCTTGCACCACTCCTCGTCACAAGCAGTGACTAATGTCTCCCTGGCAGCAAGTTAATATGGACTGGTAACAGTCAAGCCTGACAGAGCATCCTAATGCGAACAGTGAAGGAATGAGTCTTTCCTGCTTTATTGTTACACATTTTTAAACCTCACCCTGAACCCACAGAAAGTTAAATTAGACCCAGTTTAGAAAGTCAGTAATAGGGTGTGTTGTGAACTGACACTTAGATGTCACTTGACCGACCTGGACCGTAGTGTTACAAGCTGGGGTTGAGCAGGGGGGAAACACAAGACAGAGCCAAAAGGGAAGTGTTTGTAAGTACTTCCACCAAGGAATCCTGTGTGTACCTTCCCTCAGAACAACTGCTGATATATATGTTGAAAAGCAAGCAGGGATCTTTTATTTCAAGTTGGGAAGGATGGCATGAATGACCTCTATAAATTAACAGATGTAAAACAGATTAAGGGGAGGCAACAGACAAAAGCAGTAGCTGATAGATGACAGTGACTCAACAGTCCCTTATACTGACTGCATTTTTCAAAATGCAGAGATTCCCTTTCTGCTGTCCCTGGAAACACCAGATCCCTTCAGTCAACAGAATCTGCTGGGATAGCTCCTGTCCTTTGTTTTTTTGTACTACTGCTTCACCTGAGCACAGGGCTGAGGGGGAGGCCCTAGATGCCCATTATTTCCCACTCTAAAATCCTAGATACCACAGAACCACAGAAGGGGGAAAGAAGAGAGACATGGGATTCATGTGGACAGGACCACAGTAACAACAGTAAAGGAATTTTTCTTATTCATGGTCTGCAAGATTCTCATTTCTGATGATCAGACCTCCACCAGGTCAGAGGGATGGGTGGTAGGGTGCTCATCTTACACAGTGACACAAAAGCAGCCACCATGTAATGCTGGGAAATACTGTGGACTTCACCTATGTGTTTGCCCTGAACAGTTCTGGAAAAGGCATGTTTGTTGACAAAACAGTCAACAAGTATTGCAGGTATTCAAACAGAATAGGATGGAATGCAGCTAGCTGGACCTGACCTGATAAAGTCATTATTGGGTATTGCTTATTTGGGTCTTTGCAAAGAGAGAGCCTTGTGAGCCCCCATTTTCAAAAGGTCAAAAGCAGCCTAGTAGAATTCTCTAACAGATAATCAAAAAATCAACAGCACTGCATCACGTTACATTCAGCTTCTCCCTCACTTGAGTTAGGAGTCAGTGAGGAAAGACATGAAATACTGAATGAAATCCCTAAAATTTCTCAGGCAGAGGAGGAACTCCTTACATGTTGGGAAAATGAATGCAAAAATTAACATAAAGGTGAACTTCCTCTAGATAACTCATTCCCTGGGCTTGCTTGGAGCTCTAGGTGAACTCCCTGATTTTGAGAAGGAAGGAGTGTCTGTTACTGGGGTCTTGCTCAGCAGAAGCATGGGGAGAAAGAGAACTCATCTAAAAACTGATGAGAACACTCACCCTCAGGTGAACAAAAAGAGGACTCTTTGTGGGGCTATGAATTTTTTGAATTTTTTTATCTATGGAGAACTCTGATTCATTGTGGTCTCTGAAGAACACTCTTGTGTCAAACATTATCAGAAGTCTGGCAAACCATGTCCTATAGGCTCAGGAAGCCATATGACTCAAACACAAGACACACTCTTACTAACATCCCGGGATGAATGTGACAATGCTTGAATTTAAATGCATTTCTAATGATCTCTGGCCTTCAGACAAAAATTGAGGTTTTCTTATTTCATGCTTGGAGTCAGTAAATAACTTTTTGTCTTTGCAGAGTGAGGTACTGTCTTCCTACAGCAATTTCCCTCCTGTGAGACTGTCAGCAGATCATAATACCTTGTCACCTCAAAACAATAAAATAGCCAGGAATTTTGTGAAAACGCCCAGCACTGTATGTAGAAAAAGGGTAAAATCCAGTGTTAAGAGTAGATCTTCCTGTATTAGGACCAATGAAATATTCGCTCTGCATTGGATAAACAGGGAAATGGAAACAAAAGGGCAGGAATCACAGAATCAGAGCATCTGGTGATGACAGAAGACAGAATAAGCATCCTAACCCTGCAGCAATGACAGCCCGTGGTAGTGTGTCATCTCTCTCTCTCTCTCTCTCCTTTCCTGGGATCAGAACTTGCCTCTAAACCTTAAAGTTACACCCCCACATTGCTGCAACTTTCTGAGAAAAAGCTATCCTTTAAATCTTGCACAAGCATTCCAAAGGAAAGGTGGGAAGAAGGGCATGAAGAAGAGTATGCAGTTCCTTTGCTGATAAACTGTGGCCCACTGGTGAACATTTTTTAGAAGAAAGCAAAATGGTACTCAAAAAGAGATGGTAAGGAGATCACTACACTAGTTTCTCCTTCTTCCTCAGCAATTTCAACATCCTCTGTGATCAAACAGTGCAGGACAAAATGGTTCTGCCTGAACAAGACCAGAGGCCCAGCTTGCTTTCTTGCTTTAAATTTCGGTCTTCAACACCAAAAGTTCAAAACAACCCGCAATACATTCCATCAATGAGGTGGGGGTGGGGGAAGCCCACAAGGGGAAGCCTTAACCTTGTTTGAGATTATCTGGGTATCTAAAGCCTGGTGTCAGGGGAATCACTATATGATGATTTCTGCCATACATCCAAGGCAGTCCTGTGCAGGATACTGAAAGGCAAATGACCTGCTTCCCCTTACAGGAAGACTCTTCCCAGGCCTTCCAGAGTACCACAGACAGGAATAAACTGCATTGACCTTAATGGGATTAACTAAAGCCTAAGCCATACTGGAAAAAGAATACAACAGCCTTAAGGGGATAGAGTATGAGATGGCTGAGAAAAGAGGGGAAAAATTTGAAGGACAGCACTCTGTGGGCTGAAGCTCTGCAGAATAGTGAACAACTACATCAAAGAAGGATGTGAAAAAGTTCTTCTCAGTAGACCTCCTTCAGCTCATCTTGTATTTGGACTTTTTTTAGCTGAAGGAGTCTAATGAAAAACATAGCAAGGACTGCTGCGAGAGAAAGGAAGCACAAAAGGGACACAGAAGAGTTTTCTTCTGCTTTGGATGGCATCAGTTCAAACTCTGCCTCTTTGTACACGGTAATGGAACTAGGCTGCTGCAGGACCTAGTCACTGCTGTAGCATGTCACTGTGATGACTGATTTTGGGTTGTGAAGTATGTATAGATACCTATGGAGAAAGAGGTAAGAGAAGAGCAGAAGGGGACGGCTTACTGCTTAAAGATGCAGAAGGCAGACAAAAAGGAATTCACCTCTCCAATAGCATTGCAGCTTTTTCTAAAATGCCAGGGCATCTTTTAATTTACTCTATCCAGAAGTTAAAATATGCAGTACTGAAGGCATCATTCCTGCACATGGTGACACGGTAAGAAAAGTACTGGGAAGCAGATACTGGAGAAAATGGAACTGCTGCTTTGATTTCAGAGTTTTGTACAAAAAAGACTTAAGCCTAGGCCACAGAATACTCCTGAGGCTTGAAACAGGTCTTTCTTTGAAAGAAACCAGAGGAAAGAAACTTCCATCTCTGTTTTGGAGAAAGATGAGGAAGCTGCTCAGCTGGATGTCTTTTTTGATGAAGTCCAGAAACTGAGCAGAGTGGTAGTTCACAGGAGCACTGTTCAGATACAGGCAAGTCATTTTCATCCAGATTTAAGACTGTTCTTCTAAAACAGTTAATATGAACCTCTATAACCTTCAGAGCTTTTTGAGTTTTGGTTCTGCTTTTTTTTTTAAAACTATTGAGTGTTTATGGAAGATCTGCCCTTCCTCCAGGCAAAAAGGGACTTTTTTTCCCACTGCTCAGAAGAACAGTTGGATCACAAGAGGGGCAAGTCTGGCATCCCATAGGTTGTTTCCAACCTAGCAACTTTTTCAGTATTCAGAACAAGTCTGTAGTAGTGACAGTGACTAAAAAACATGAAAAAAGCAAGGAATACAATACTAACTATAAACACACAAAGGATTTCAGTCTGTATGTAATGGAATGAGATCCTATTGAGGCTGCTTCTGCCAGCCAAGCTAGGCCAACTGCTCTGCTGTGCGGCGTGCACTATATGAAGGCATACTCTGATACAGAACAAGGGAGCAGCTATGCTCCTCAATCCCTTATGTTCTCAGGCAATGGAGGACTACAAACGCATTCACTCCCAGATGATCACCGATGGATAGGAAGGTCTTGATTGTGTTCTATATGTATGTGTTCTATAACTGGGATCCATGCAGATAACAACTCAAAGAGCTACTCTGGACTCTAGTTTGAATCCTTACATAGGAGACCCACAGGAATTTCCTCAGTTTTCTTCCCAAACAGGAATGTTTAGGTTACAATACTCAAGAAACTACACAGACACCCGTCTCAGGTGAAAGGCAAAAAATCCAAATCTTTCTTTTCCCTTCTGTATTAGCAAGTCATTCTCTTATCCCTTCATGTTCCATGAACCCTTGCCTAAGTGCTGTGATGTGACTTGCAGGGTAGAAGAGATGCGTTTGCCTGTCCAAGTGAGTTCCAAGACTCGTTACATCCGAAACAGGTCAATGACCTGCAGGAGATCATGGTGCAGTATTGGATGTCTTACCCGGATCTGCAAATCACTGAGGTCAAGGCATCTGCACATTTCCAGGAAGAGCTTCACACCCTCCTCATCTAGGATTATGTAGACTGGGATCCAGCGCTTATATGCTGCATCAACAATATCACGGAAGATGTCCCGATCTGTAAATACATCCATGACCACTGCAATAATCTGGAAATAAGAAGACAGTAGACAGACAACTAAATAAAATACCAGAAACTGAAAGGAAGGCTCATCACACTGGTGCAAAATAAAGGAGAGCACTGATACCAGAATATGGAAGAGGAGGATATGGGGAAGATAAATATACAAGGATGTACACGCCCAAATACTAACAATAATGTTGTAATTTTCTGCTGCACTTTGGAAGGAACTTAATATAAGAACTCTTTGAGACTTCTCCTTCTTCTAGGGGAAGATGGCTTATTTCAGCAGCCTGAGGAATGCCAAAGCAAAACACATAATTTTTCCTCTGTATTGTAAAACTTTTGTTGCATCTGTAAGGATCCACTTAAAGAAGAACACTGAAAATAGATTGAAAAAGAAGAGTGGAAAACACTGCTCTTAACATTTAATCAGAAGGTGAGTAATGGAAGAGAATGAATGTGCAGAGGAATCAGGTCAGAATCCTCAGCCACAGTACATAGGGCAGACAAGAATTTTATTTCCCTTTTTTCCCAATTCCTTTTAAGAAGTCTGCTCTCAGGGCTGGCTTCCTAAGAAATGTCTTATGGAGCTCAAACATACGCACCTCATATTTGTCAGGAAGGGACTGGAGTGTGTGTTCAAGATTTGGAGGCAAAATGATGACTGCCTCTCTCCACATGTACATTTTTTCTGGTATAAAACTAATCCCTCTTTCCAGGCATAGATTTTACATAAAACCAAAAGGTTGCGCTGACGTGACAGACAAGCCTGAACATTCATAGGATGAGTAACAACAAAACCAAGAAGGTTATGGGCAACTTTAAGCTGATCTTACATGTTTTGTCTTTCTTTCCCTTTCTGCATCTTTCACACCATTAGAAATATCAATTCTTTTCTGCCTGAAATTCTGCCCAACATCTGAAAGGTTATGAATGAAGGAAACTAAACTACTGTTTTCCTAGTCCCACTGGGAAGCATCAATTTGCATCTCATACTCCTAGTATGCTGGGAATAGAATTGCCTAAATTTTAACTTCTCAGGCACTGCGGTCACAGTGATGAGCCAAGCTGTGCTGGGGATGACACATACAGGTGCAAATGGAGCTGAAGACTGGATTGAACAGTGGGATCTTCTTGAAGTTTGGAAGAAGTGCAGCTCAAGTTGCAAGAGCTGCCTATTGAAGAGGGAATAATTCTCACAAGAGACCTCTTTCCTTTGACAAATGCCCTTGAACAAATTGCTTTTGGAAAAGTGATGCCATACTAAATGTCCCCTACTGTGTTTGCTGAGTCTCTGCTTGTACGGCCAGTAACAAGCAACACATCTGCTCCGTCAGGCTCCTTCTGTCAACAGTGCTTACACAAGCTTTTCTTTGTTAGAAAAAGAAATAAAGAGCTGACATTGTGGTTATGCTTATCATTAGCATGTAGGTTTGTGATACATGTGAACTATGGTGGAGCTACATGATACTAATAGTAAGTCCCTCAATAAGTTCTGCTAGGCAGAACTGGATTTCAGGTCCTGCCTTGGTTCTTACTTCCCAGAATGAAGCAGCAAGATTCAGGTAATGTTACCAGAACCTCTGAAAATTAAAATATAGTGAACTTGTGCCACTTTATTCCCAAACAACGTAATATTCAGACAGATTATCATTAACGGCATGAAGAGTTCATGCATTAATTCAGGCCTGTTATGCTCCCTCTCCCCTCCACACATTGTGGCACTGATGTACTTATTTAGGAGCGAGAATGCCCGGTAATACTCATTTGAAGTAAGAACATCCACATAGGGAATTGATCAATAATAGATAGCAGAAGCATGACTTCAGGCTTTGGGGCCTTGAGTCAGTTCAGGCTTCCCTGCAAGAATGTGGACTAAACTCATGAAAACTGAGATGTGTATGAAAAACAGATTAGCTGCCTTGCAGATGGCACTTCTAAGCCAGCAGTGGGCAACCCCAGTTATTATGTTAAGTCTTCTCAAACCCCTGCCACAGCTGGCGATGTGTCAGGATTACCTAGGAGAGTTCCCAAATACAGCAAGTCAGAGCATGAGAACCTACCCCTGCAAGAGGTTTTCCCCATTCCTCTACCTATCCTGTGGATAATAAACTTATCTATAGGGCTCACAGGCGTGCCTAACTCTTCATAGGTATTTAAAGATTGGCAAGCGTTAACTTGCCAATCAATCTCATTGCGGTAAGGTAGCTTCATTAACATATGTTTGTAAAACACTGACGATAAGCCACCCACAAACATGTGCCACATATTACTAGTATCTGTTCAGACCCTCCTCAAAAAAACAAGACCAGCAAAACCCCACTCTCATCTGCTGAAGGAAAAGCTGCTATCTAGAGACTTTTTTTTTTTGCCAGGGCCAGCTTACCTGAACACAACAGGCATAGTTACCTATGAAAAGGACCATTAAACACTTAAATGGCTGTTAAACATGAAACCACCTTTGGGCTGGGAAAGCACAGTTCATCCAGTGAGTGAAAAAAAAAAAATCTACAAAGGAATTAATTACTTTCAGGTGCCAGGCACAGCTATCAAAAAGAGCAAAGTTTCCCAGTCCTTGCACAGTCTGTAGAGGCATTTGTAGCAGTGCAAAGAGGATGTGAAGTTGCACTAAATCAGAGTAGAAGGATTTTGCAGCTTCTGGCTCTTCTATACGACTGATCACCCAGTTGCTGAACAGGATTATGGGGTGTGCAAGTATTTCTGCAAGCAGGGAGCTGAGGAGATCAGCTACTGGAAAGTTGGGTGGTTTTTTTTTTCCCAGCAGATTTGGTTTTAATGTCTGTAAAAGTCATGCATATAGTGTATGCTGGGGTGGAGGAGCAGGTGGAGGAGGAATAACTGCTGAATTACAAAGCAGAAAAAACATAAAGCTCCAGGAGTGATGTCAGCTCTGAAGGGGATCTTTTCCTGGGTGGTCTTCCCTAGAAACTTCACCCACACCTAGAAAAAAACCTCATCATTGCCCCCATCTATTCAATGCAAGCTCTTGTAGCATCACGGCTGGTTTTCTCACCAGTGGTGGCCTGTCACCACTAACAGCCCTTTCCAGCAAAGATAAATAGGGATGCAGCCACATATTGTCTGGACTCTGGCTCTTCCAGTACATGCTGGATGGTGTTGAGACCACAAAAAATAACCCCCAAAAATGCCACCCCCTAAACAAACTCATTGCCCTGTGTTTAACTAGGGATACCTGCACGTACAGGCGGTGCAGCTGTAACAGCATCACGACCTGCCTTCCCTTGAGCCAGGGAATCAGACTGGGACAGGACAAAGCAAACTAGGTAGAAAATCCCAATTTGAAGGGGTTTGTGCAGGAGTTTAACCCCACCCTGGGCATCATTTGGCAAACCGTAATGTGACTGGCAACAAAGCACAGGGAAAGCCCCTGCCCGGTAGGCCAACGCGCTCCTCCCGCTTTGCAGTGGGGCCGGCGAGGAAGGCCCGTCCAGGGCAGGGCTTCGCTTCCCTTCCACCCCACGTGCCCCCAGCCCAGGCATGAAGGTGGACAGGGGTGGCCCATCGAGGGCACCCGCTTTGTGCACCGGCCGGCCCAGGCCCTACCTTCTGTGCCTGCTGGATCATCTCCCGCACCACCTCCTTCAGGTGGGGCGCGCCCTCCTCCTTGCGGGGGTGCGTGAAGAGGGCCACTCGGCTGATGCCCCGATAGAAGGTCTTGTCGGTCCAGCCCAAGTCCAACGGGGGCACCTCTGTGTCTGAGCACTCGGGCCAGTAGGCCAGCGAGAGGGTCTCGCCGCCGGGCCCCCGCGCTACCTTGCCGCCCTCCCGGGGGTCGTCGTATCCCCGCCAGCCGCCCCGCAGGGCCTGCAGCTCCCGGCTGGAGAGAAAGTCGCGAAGCTGCTCCTTCCTCAGCGCCTCCCGATAGGCCCCCTCGCCCCGGGTCACCAGCGCCTCCAGGGCTCGGCGCTGCTCCTCGCTGTAGTAGAAGCGGGCCTGGGCCTCCGTCACCTTCTCGTTGACGTGCGACTCGTCCAGCAGGAGCACCTGGGACTCCGCCATGCTGCCGTCACCCGCAGCGCCGGGCAGCCGGGAGGCTGCGGAAGGAGGTAAAGGCAGAGCCGGGCCCGCCTCACCTGGCCTGCCCGAGCCCGCCCCGACGGGTGGAGCGGCTGCGCCGCCCTGCGCCGGCTTCTCACGTTCCCCTGGCTCCCAGGGGACACGGCTGTTCCCTCTGTTCTGCCTCTCTCCCAGGCCGGTGCGTGGCCCCGGCCCCTGGGGGTGTGCAGGGGTGACCTAGAGCCCTGACCACAGTGCTTGGCGGAGAACCAGGCCTGAGCTGCGGGTGTATTTTGGGGTGCAAACGCGAAAATCTATTCAAGGGGGGTTCCCCCCCTCTTCCAGACGTGGCAGCCACCTGAGGGGTGCTCATGGGGAAGGGGTGGACATGAGTGGGGCCAGGGTCGCAGGCAGAGCACCCTCTGTGGTCTGTTGGCTGCAGCTGGCCGCTCGCTGGCCATCTCCCAAATCCTCTTGAAAAGCCGCAGTAACAGCTCAGAAACTCCCCAAAACAGGAGGTGGGGACCGTGTTTACAGATGGGAGGATGAGGGAGCGATTTGCCCGAGGCCATCCAGCAGGCTGGTATCAGAGCTAGGAATAAAACAGCCCTGCTCCCAGTCTCTGGCTGAGAGCATGAATAAATACCCCCAGCTCGACACACGTGTCCCAGCTGAGAGATTAGGGGCTGTAATGTTAAATTATGATTTTTGCATGGTATGTGATAGTTGCCAGGGGCTCTAATCAAGATTCAGGCCCTGCTGTGGTTTGCAGTGCGTATACAAAGGATAAAAAGACAAGCTGGTGGGGATGAGCAATGAAACGGGGATAAAGGCAAGGCAGTGGTGAAATACAAACATTCAGAGGCATTTACAGCACTTTACATATGTGATTAGGCCTAAGTGCTCATATGCACAAAAAACTGTAGGGACAGAGTTACTGGAGCTGCTCTTGTCTCCTCTCTATAAGCAATCACCAGCACTCAATGTGAGTTAGCTTAAAAATTCAAGGATAAAATAGGGCACTGGAACTCATCCTTTAGGTAGAAGGGAGAATTTTAGTATTCCAGACTGTCATCAATAGCTTTTCCTAGCATGAAATTCACTTAAAATTTGAAATTGCACTTCGCAAAGGTCTACTCTGTCTCTCGTCCCCTTTAAAAATTAATGTCAATATAGGTTCTTTTAGTCTTATTTCCAATGAAAATGAGGCTTACATGGTCATGGTGTCTGCATCTGTCTGCCTGTCTGTCCATCTCTGTAATAACTTTTGAACCCACTAACTGATTTCGATCGAGTTTTGCAGAAGTGTAATAACATCCCTACAGATTTTGTGAAAATAAATGGCCCGACTGCAAAAAGAGACCCTATCAAAGTCTCCAACAGGGAAAGTTACAATATGGGTTTATGTCTTATTAGATTTCAGAAATTCCATAAAAGTGAAAACACTAATAAGTGCCTGATCTGTATGAAAAGCTTCAAATGAAGTTTGTGCCATCTTAGACACCTGGTCAGTCAACCACAATATACAAATACACAGGAGATGTGCCGTTGCTAGTCCCAGTGCTCACTAAACTACTTTTTGGTTTAGGTTTTCGTGTTTTTTTCTCTACCAGAGGCTGCCATCAGCTCTGCTATTTCATGTGTGGCTAAATAAATTCTCTTTAATCCTAGGTGCTCTATTCATTTGTAGCTGCACAATGTAATCCTTTGTGTTGAGCTAAGGCTCCCACATGAAAGCAACAGTAGGTTCACAAATATATCTATAGCTTCATATCTAAAAGCAAGTGAACATTTCCCACATCCAAGTAAAAGCAGCAGAGATTTTTCAGTTTGTTGTGATGAAATGGATAGCCCCCATCTCTCACTCTAAAAGACAAAGTGTTGTCTGTGGGTTGATATGATAAATAGGGGCAAGGACCTGTGCTAAAGCTAAGAGAGACCCTTTTGCAATACCTGCATATGTCCCAGCCCCTCTCTCTGTTCTCCCAGCAATACATTCCAACCATGCATATTTCCTAGACGGAGTTTTTAAAAGGGATTCAGTCCCTTTTGATATACCCTGACCCTCCGGCTGACAATTTCACATCAAGCACTGGTAAATGGACTGTGCAAACAAACTGCCCTCTGTCACAGAGGTAACCCAAGCCTTTGGGACTGGAGAAGAAACATGGCAGGCAGGGTGGGGGGAAATACTTGTGTCTGACCCTGCCCCTCTGGGATCAAGGAGTGAATTCCAGTTTCCCACTCTAGAAGAGGGTCATTACTGTTTCAGTTCAGGTTTTCCTCTCTGCCCTTAGCATGGGATCAAGAGAAAGAAGAAAGGGGAAGCTTGCTTTTAGATTGGGTTGAGGCAGCTGCAAATCCTACGCAGAACTACACTATCAAACCTTTGATTTATGTTGTTCCTGGGGATTACTGGCTGGAGGGGCAGCATGTATGTAGGCAGGGCTGGGTCTCTTTTGCTTTTTGCCTTTGTTTGGGTGTCATCCCAGCCAACTCCTAGCTAAGGTCTTGCTTACTTTTCTGGTCTGGTTCCAAAACGTTTTCCAAAGGATGTAAACTAACCTGTCAGGAAATATTACCTCTTATTGTAGCCCTCCTCCAACCCCATTACAGCGTTTTAAATCTTCTGCCTTCAAACACCTCCCACGTATATTCTGGTTACTTGGGCCTAATTGCTTCACTTTCCTTTGCGAGGCAGTGCAGGTTGTGCATTAGATAAAGATATGACACCTTATATTTAGCATTAATTGTAACTGCGCTTGTCCTGAGCATACAACTCTCTTGCCAGTCCTTCCTGTGTAATTTCAGTCCCTAAATAGCCCACCTCATGATATATTCTTTGATAAATTTCCCATCAATGTTTTTCTTGTGACAAACTGCTACAAGCTTCCCCCCCCCCCAATTATTTCTTCCAAGAGCAGTCATCATTTACATGCAAAGTAGGAGTAAAACCAGGGGCAAGTATTAAAAAGAAAGTATCATTTTGTAATAAAGTGGTTGAGAGCTGTATAGTAGAAACCTTTTTTTTGAGGGGCAATAGCCTCCAAAACATGATTTACCAAAACATCTCTGATCGACCATACTACCTTTTGGGGTTTTGATTTGTTTTGTTTTTTCCTCTCCATAAAAAGAAGCAACAGGTAAAAATGAGGTTTGCAAAGAAAACAGGATGGCTTAAGGCATGGAGGATACAAAAGAGTGTTTTCCATTTCTCAGTGTCCCAGCTGCAGGTTAGCCTGAGGTGATGGGGCTTTGCTGTCTTGAAATGGAAGGGTAAATAAATAGGTGCCTGTGCCATGGTTGTTATTAAACGCTACACTCCTTCCCTATGCTGGCTGGCACCACAACAAGACTTGCAAAGTCTTGGTGAAGATTGCATCTTCTTGACTCTCTTCTCTGCAGCCAGGATCCAGGAGTTTGTGGGAAGACTATTACATGCACAGCAAGCCACACTCTGCTTGTCCGGAGTCTGAAATTTCATTCCAGCGCAGGAATGGGTGCATTAGTCATGTCCAAGTATTGGCAGAGCTAAAAAGCCTGAAACAAGGCGATTTCAGGATGGAGAGGAAGAAGTGTTTGCCTTTACCGTTTTCCCTCCAGTGACCGGAAGAGCTGCAGTCGGTGAAAGAAAGGTAGGTGTGTCACTTCTGCAGCAGCAGTGACAGACTGCAATCCGGAGGATGAAGAAATGCTTTCAGATGCTTCCTTTCTGTCATATTACACTGCCTCAGGGAGAAACCTAGCTGCTGAATTGGAGAACTGCTGCAACTGAGTCAAATGCTTCTTGGCCTCCCACTCAGTTTTTCAGTTGTTGTTTGCATGTCAGAGTAAATGGGTAAGAGAGTCCTCTGAATAAAGAACAACTGTGTTTGTGGACTCATTTCTTGCAGCAAGGTATTTGCTGACTGAGCTCGCACAGAAAGGCCTGTGGCTGTTTTCCCCAGCTGCTCCCATTCAGAGGGCGACAATTTGAGGCAGTTTCCTGTAAGAAATAGTGCTGACCCAGGTCTCTTGCTTAATCTTTTAACTCACATGTAGGCAAGGACTCAAAACTAGTTGCAATTCAAGGATTCAGCTGAGCTACCCTGCCAGGGCCTTGGCCAAGTTGTCTGCTGTGACTCAGTTCCCCGTCTGTAAATGAGGAAGATACTACTCTACTTCGCAGGCCTGCTACAGGGTAGGACTTAAAAAAATAAAACCCCAAACGAACATCACCTACTTTTACTTCGGTTTCTCCTGCAACAGGCAGAGGGGGAAAAAAAAAAAAAAAAAAGGACAGCTGTAGAGTCCCTTTGCACATGAGCCAACCCCTGAATGCAAACTCTTGCTAAAGAAAACAGTGAGGAATAAGCAATGCAGTCTCTGAATAGGATGCTTAATTGCAGCTGTAATTATGTAGCTCTCAAGTCACAGTGTGGTTTATAGACAAAGAAACACCACGAATGGGAGTGCAGGTAAATTAGTGCAGCAACAAGTCTACAGCATCACTTACTTAGCTGTGTAATGGCCACCTGTCAGTGTTCATTGCTACCAACTCTTTGGAAAATAAAATGCTCAGGTGAGAGTTGATGGGAAGAGGAATGGAGCACAGAGGGGAGGCTTGGGTGGGTCACCCAGGCAGAGACTGGAGGGATAAGGAGCAGAGCAGACTGGTAGGAAGCAATTAATGGGACTATCCTGATATGGTGGAGCAGGCCACCAGCCGGTGCAACAAGATGAGGTGGGAGATGGAGTTACGTGCTGATGGCAAGGATGAGATATCCCAATGCTATATGGTGGATAAGAGGGAGTCAGTGGAGGGGATGTGAGAGAGATATGATGCATCCAAGAGCGAACAAATTAATCTGAAGAGCTGCATAATCAGTGGAGGAGAGGAGAGCAGTGGGAAGCAGAGATGAGGCTTTGGTATCCACAAAGTTTTAGCCACCTTGGAAGATGGCTAAAAAAAGCCATGGCAAAATAGGAAGTCCTGTTTTTTTATGAGGGGGAAAGAATTGAATTGTGAGGCTTGAATATGGGGGGGGAGAAGTTAGAAGTTGGCCCTAAAACTACAAAAATGAATAGGTAAGAAGCAGATTGGCCCCCACAATAAATGCAAAACTTTGTGAAGACAGCAGCATAGGC